AACTTCTATTTACTGTGTTCTGTATCCCAAACCACCCATCCCTGTTATTGTTATTATCATTATATTATGTCGTTGGCATTATGTTTTTTCTTAAACCGGTGATATATATATGCAGCGATTGACAAAGTTTTTGGTAGAGCCAGTTCGTCTTTAATGGGGCTCATGATAATTGCGTACTATTTTTCCGATACAGTTGGGATGATCCTAGACAGTGAANNNCACATAGACCAGACTAAGAACACATAATTGAGTGATAATGTAGGTATAACAAGTTGTCAGTTTTTGGAGTGGACATGATATAAAATTTTGAAACGGAAAAACTGGTTTCAAACGACAATTATTGCAGTTTTGTCCGAATGGTTACGTTTATTCCATAAGGTGATGGGAATCCCAAGCCTGCTGATAGTAGTTCCCGTTATAGTAAACAGCGATTTAGTTACGCAATGCTAGTATACAAACTTTGTCATCTTTATGACCAGCAATTAGTGATACATATCTTTGAAACATTGATTGGCCAAAATAAGGACTTACATCTTATAGCTGATTTTTCTGTTCCTCATTCAGACAATACCTGTAGTAAAAGCAAATCAGTTGATGGAAACCACACTGTGATGGCACGGTCCCATTTTGAAACTATTGTATTTGTGCTTAGTAAGGTGTGAGAATTTTTTCAGATTCCACCTCTATGTGAGATGATATTGGAAACCTCGGGTTGTGCTTGGCGTGCGTTATTTCATTAATTCAACGGATCAGATAGCAATCAATTGGAACGAACTGAATTCATGCACATGTATTCATGTAATCAAGCACAAATCATGCTGCTCAGCTTTGTAACTATATATTCGGAACCAAACTGCCGTGTTTAAAAAGTAGAACATATTGATCATGTTTCTATTTCCTGTCCTATCTGGTATGATATCAGTGTTTCTTGTAGTGTTTAGCTCAGTGCAAAAACCTCCCCTTGATGTTTTTCAAAACCACGGTAATTGTATTGTCCTTTTGGCTTTTCTGTATCCCAAACCAATTCAATCGGTGGATAAATAAAACCTGCACCCCTGGAGTAGTGATGATGAATGAACTGTGTGAGTTGGGGAGGGTCTGTACACATCTGACATGATATTGCCTTGTCATTTGTCAGTGAATTATAGAATTTCTCATACGTTTTCAAATCAGCAACCAGTATTCAGATTATACATTACTGAAATACGGATTTTTTACCGACTGTAAAATCATTCAACCCAGCATATCACATTTCATGAGTGTATATAGGGGCTAAGCAATATTCGGG